TTCCTTCCTTCGTTCCTTCCTTCGTTCCTTCCTTCCTTCCCTTTCCTTCCTTCCTTCCTTCCTTCCTTCCTTCCTTCCTTCCTTCCTTCCTTTCCTTCCTTCCTTCCTTCCTTCCCCCTTCCATCTGCCATTTCCTGTCTCCCTCTCATTTCCTTTCTCCTCCTTCCTTCCTTCCTTTCTTCCCTCCCTCTCGCTCATTCCTCCCTTATCTCTCTCCTTCCTTCCTTCCTTCCTTTCCTTCCTTTCCTTCCCTTCCTTCCTTCCTTCCTTCCCATTTCTCCCTTTCTCTCCCTTTCTCCCTCTCCTTTTCTGTAGGTGAATCTAAGGGTGGACCTTTGCTGACGGGCAGACCGCTCACTGCCTGGGGGCAGCTAGGGCAAAGCGGGCAGATTAGCCAACTTGGGCGGCTACGGGGGTTGCCTCTTGCACCCATGGCCCAGGAGCGGAAGGTCCCATGGCCTGTTGACGTCCTGGAAGCTGTTGGGGAGCAGATAGAAAAAGAACCAGCCCCGGTGAAGGAAACGCGTCTCTGGCCAAGCTCTCCACTCCTTCCTGTGACCATCCTCCTCTCCTCTTCTCTTCTCTCCTCTTCTCTTCTGGTCAGCTTGCCTGTCTGCCTGCCTTGGGGACTTTCCTTGGAAGGGGGGTGGGCAGGAATTGGGGTGGGGGTGAAGAGGTAGGCAGGGCCCACACTTGAAGGACCTTCTCCGTCCAAGGCTTTGGGGACACGAATGGGTTTGGAGCCCTTAGAGAATGCTGGATTGTGGCAGAGAGTGTGTGTGTGTGTCGGGGGTGGATAGCTTTAGCTGTCGGTTCGTGGTTCTGCGACGGTTGTAAATGCGAGGACCGGTTGCCAGCCCCCCCCCTTTCCCCCCCCCCTCCAGGGCTGTGAATGCCAGCAGCCGCCTCTGGCCTTGGCCGTCCCATCTCCCCCTCCCGGGTTTCGCTGCTTGGATACAGCCAGGGTGACACCGCTCCGTTTTTTTTCCCCCTAAAGGCTCGCCGGGCTTCGTCTGTTTTCCTTTCTCTGGGCTCTGCCGCTTCTGCCCTGCTGTCCCAGGAGGCTGCGGTGGCATCATAGTGGTTGGGCTGCACACCTGGGGCTCTCGCGGGCGAGGCGGCAGCCCTCGGCCTCCCTGGCTCTTGAGGAAAGGCAGGCACTGCAGAGGACGAAGGAGGAGGAGGAGGAAGAGATTCATTGGCTGGGCCACGATGGGGCTCCCTCCCTTCCCACCCACCCTGTCTGTCTGTCTTTTCCTCTCTTCCCTCCTTCCCTTTCCTCTCCCTCTCCTGTTTATCCTTCCCGTCTTTCCATCTTCCTTCCTACTTCCATCCAATCATCCATTCTTTCTCTTTCTCCTTCCTTCCTTTTCCTTCTCCCCCCTCTCATCCGTTTATCCTTCCTGTCTTTCTATCTTCCTCCCTACTTCCATTTTCCTTCCTTCCTTTCCTGCATATCCCTTTCTTTCCACTTCCTTTCTCCCTCTTCTCATCTATTCATCTTCTGTCATTCCTTTCTCCCCCTCCTCTCCTCTCCTCCCCTTTTCTTTTTTTCCCTTTCTCTCCTCCTCTTCTTAAAATTTCCACATGGGCTAAATGCACGCTTTTGGTTCACAACGTGGACATGTTGGCTCCAAGAACCCGGTTAGGGTCCCGCAGGACCAAGAACAGGGCGGTGTTTTTATCGGAGGGGAAGCAATACATGCTGCAGCCCTTGCCTCCTTGAAAGGTTCGCCCCTCCCTCCACGGCCCCTTGGGAATGAATCTTCTTTCCTTGATCCATTGGTCACTCGAACCTCCAGTGGGGAGGAGATCTCAGCAAGGGCCTCAGCCAGCCAGCGCCATCCCCTGTGGCCCATTGATCCGCTGGCTGGCTGGCTAACTAGGAGCCCCGCTGCTTGCAAAGGGTCTGCACCTCGGATACTCGAGCCTGCTGCTTGCTGACGCCATCTTATCTCTGTTTGCACGTGGAGCCACCTCGCCCAATTTCCATCTCCTGCCATCCTAAAATGGCAGCCCCCCCCCCCCCCCCCCAAGCCCAGAGGTGCCAAGAGTAAATTCCCCGACCTCCCTGGAGCAAGGAAGTCAAAAATGGAAGCTGTTCTGACCAGTGGCTTTCTCCAGTCGGCATGCCTTCGGCACAGCCACTCGGCTGTCCGTATGTTTCGGGCCTGGCTTCCACAGACCCCCCGTCCTCCCTCTCTCTCCTCCTCCCACCCAAGCCTTACAGAAGACCACAGGCTATTCAAGCACATTCTTTTGCCAAATTTGGAGCCAAATGGACGTGTCCTCTTCCGCAAGGCTTTCCTATTAGGCCCCGTGAATACGGACGGCTGGCATCTGTAGAAGTGTAGCTGGATCCCCCATATCCCCAAAACTAGCCGAGTGGTAGGATCGGAAGGGACCCAGAGGTCTTCTAGCCAACCCCCTGCTCAAGGCAGGAGATCTTATACCATCCCTGTCAAACGGTTGTCCGGTCTGGCTTTTTTAAAGCCCCCACAGCTCCAGGAAGTCAAATTCGTAGGATCTGCTTGTGTCACCCGCCTTGTTCAAGCTAGATCTTTCTTTTTTTTTCTTCGTCTTTTAATGACCCTATAATCCCTTGCCTTGGGGTGGAGTCGGGGCAGCTGAACGGAGCGGAGTATTTACTGGCCCGATGCCCTTCCTTTCGCCGGTGTGAAGTTCTCGACAGATAGTTTCTCATTGTCTTTGCTCTCAGGAAATTCAAGGCGAGGAAGGGTTTTTTTTTTTTAAATTGGTTGGCGCTCGGGTTGCAGCTTTTTCTAACGGAGTCTGCAGCCTTCCTTTTTTTTTTTTTGAGACGCGGGAGAGGACCTCTCAGGGATGTCTTCTGATGGAGAAGAAATGCTAGGATCACTGCTTCTCCTCCTTTGAATTTCTCCCCGGTTCTGCTGCATCTCCGAACTTCCCTGTCCATGAGAACCCAACGGTCTCTTTTCTCTTTTTCACTCTCTTTCCACTGGTTTTAATTGGAGGAACGAAGGAGCGAGGAGTAGGCAGTGGGCTGGCTAGAAAAATTTGAGGAGAAAGGATGCAACAGCTAGCAGTTACTCAGAGCAGAGTGGAACAATTTAAGCCTGAGGTGTGGGGGGGGATTCACATTTCTCCTTGGTCATTGGTCCATCCTGTGCTGCTGGTTGAGTTTCAGATATGCTGGGTGTTGCAAGTAAAAAAATGATTGTATTGTGTTTTGTTTTGTTTTTAAAAAAGGCTCTTTAAGTCAATCATTCAAAGGCCTTCATTTTAAAGCCGGAATTACTCTTATTGCAGGTATCCCCAAACTTGGGGCACTTTTAAGACTCCCTGGGAGTTGAATTCTAGGAGTTGACGTCTGTTAGTCTTAAAAGTGGCCCAGTTTGGAGACCTGCTGTATTTGAATGCTTCAAAGGCCTCTGGCCACATTGCTGCCATTCTGGTTCAGTGCGGCTGAGAGTGCCTGGAGCCCGGGGGGGGGGGGGGGGGGGGGGGGGGGGGGGGGGGGGGGGGGGGGGGGGGGGGGGCTTTGTGCACGATTCTGGAGGCTTTCATTCCTCCCCTTTTACCCACCCTGCTGGAGAGCGATGAGAGAAGGGGAGAGGAAGCTGGATTCTCCCCCAGGAAGAATCCAAAACTGCAAAGACAACTTTAAAAAAAAAAGAGGGTGGAAAAAAAAAACCTTTAGGCAATTCAGGCGGGCCAGGTTGTGTCCCCAAACGGTTCAAGTTGGCGAATCGCAACCGTCTGGTCGAAGCTCTTGTCCATTTTCATGCGGGTCACTGCAAACGAGCGTCTATTCTCCTACGTGAAACGTCCAGCTTGGGACATTTTTGGGGGGAACCTTACAACCCCTGCGAGATGGCCCTTAAGAAGTCGCAGCGTGGCGGCAGGAGGGTCTGTGGCGCATGGCTCTCTGGTTCTGTTTTGTTTTTTTGTGTTTATTTTCAATTTCCCCATTAGCTGCTATTGTAATTCTCTCTCGTCTCCCCTGCGCGAATGCATTTTGCTGCGGTTTTGGGGGTGGGGGTGGGGGGGGACGACTCCTGCAGATTTGAATGTACCCCTTATTCAGCCTTTGGAGTTGAGAAGCGGTCCCAAGGGGGGTCACTCCGTCCCAAAATGGGCCCTGCTTTTCTTCTTCTTCTTCTTTCAGTTATGGTTATTTTGACAGAACCCATATCTGCACAGTAATGCTTTAGCTGGGACGGGAGGGGGGGGGTCCGTGCCCTTCCGGGGATGTATTTTCGTGTTTCTCTGCCTCTTATTTAAATTTTTAAACCAACCAACCAACAAAAAAAAAAAAAAATTAAACTTAGTAAAAATGTTTGACAGTTCGGTATGTTTTGCTCTGGTTTTGTTTGTGTTTTTTTTTGTTTTCATTTGTTTGGGGGTAATTTTTATTTTTTTTGGCTTTAGTTGTTTTAGGGGTGTTTTAAGGAGAATGGTTTCAGCATTATTATGATGGTGCAAATTTTTTTTAAAGGAAATATTTTCATCATGGGGAGATAAAATAAATGGCACTTTACATTACAATGTTGTGCTTCTTTCTCTCTCTCTCTCTTTTTTTTTTTTTTTTTAGAACAAAGTATAAATTTAGGTGGCCGTGCATGGCTAATTCTTTTTTAGTTCCAAGAAAAGTTTGCAGATCATGTACCCCTGTGGGTTTCAATTAGCTCAGTTCGAGAGAATTATTCCCATAAACCTGTGACGGCGAACCTAGGGCAGAACCATTTGTGCGGGCACGCGAGCTCGCGTGCCCGC